TTTTTTTTTTTTTTTTTTTTTTTTTTTTGTACCAGGGATCGAACTTGGGACCTTGTGCTTAGGAGTCAGATGGCAGAACCACTGAGCTGAATCTCTGGCCCTGGTTGCTTTTTATTTAATGAATGGTGCCAAATAAAAACACAGAGCTCAGTTCAGTAGACAGAAACAACACAGGTCCATCGTTTATTCCAGAGGTGCTCCTCCTGCCTCCGCATGATGGCTCTGTCTAGAGTGGAGGGGTTCCCAAGGGGTTTCCTAACAGACCTCAGCTTGACCTGGCTGAGGGATGCTCTTCCCTGCAGGGCTGCACGCTGTCCTCACCAGCAATTGCACAGGAGTCATGGGGACGTTGTCCCCCAATCCATGGCGACCACAGAAGGATGGAGTGAGCGGACAGCCAAGGCGTGCACAGGTCCACAGGGCAGAAGGCTCCATCTCGCTGGCCATCTCCAGGGTTTCAAAACCTTTCAGGAACGCAGGTGATTGCCCCTTTGAGGCTGCCCCTCGAAGCTGAGCAGCCCCGACACAACATGGGTCCATGCCCAGCAAGCCATGAGGAACTTTACTTGTCCTACTGCTCCTCTGATTCCCTCCAGAGCTCCGAAGATTTAGGATAAAACAGTTTGGCAGCCCCAAAACCTCCAGTCTTGCTGAGCACCAGAGCCTGGCTGCAATGGGCTTCCAGGGAGATGGAATAGGACCAGAGGAGGCCTGAAGATTCCCTTATGTTTCCGGTAGGCCATAGCCTGGAAGAGGGCAGAGGCAGAGGCCTGAGGCCCAAGCACAAGAGGACACCGAAGGCCAGGTCTCCCGTGTCATGGGCAGTCCTCCGCATAGGGCAGGGAGGCAGAGGCAAGGGACAGCTGGGTAAAGACAGCCACCGTGGACTGCAAGCAGGACGTCAGGGAGAAGAGCCCAGGGGGCGAGGTCCAGGCTGTCGGGCCAGGGTTTCTGCCTGCTGTGCTTCCCCGAGTCCAACCTGGGTCGGGGAAGAGGAGCACGAGCAGGAGGATGGAGGGGACCACCTGGGGGACCCCAGAGAAGCTGGAAGAGCTGTCGCATGCTCAGGGTGCAGGGCACCCTCAAGGCTCAAGATTGACATTGTCCTCTCTGCCAGCTGTCCTGTTGATCGCAACATGGCCTCTCTAAAATGGACCCATAAGGCCTGCCCACTTCCCCACCCAGTTATCATGAAAATCCCGGAGGAGTGTATGGTGCAGTGCATGGTGACACCTCTTCTGAGGGTCAAGAGCAAGGCCAGCGACCTGTTGCTGTGATGGCCGGGTGTGGAGGGGGGAAGTGTGCGGGACCTCTGCACGAGACCGGAAGTGAGGGGATTCGCACCTGCAGCCACTTCCGTGCAGCAGCCCAGCCTCCCCTCAGAGGGTAGAAGACTCCCAGGAAATATCCAGGCCTGGACGACCATGTGAGCCAGTGGGCATCACCACACCACACGGCCTTCAAACCCTCTGAGGAAGACAGAAGGCTCTGGGGCCAGGCTCTCATTCGCTTTCAGAAGATCCAAAGTAGGAGGTCTGGTGGCAGAAGTCCGGCAGGAGTTCCACTGAGGAAGCTCAGGCCAGCACCTGGGAGGTCTGCGTGGGAGCCGGGAGAGGAGGGGCCCTCAGGACTCTGGTAGAATTGCCTTACAATGCGGTGAATCAAGACTAGGTGCCTCCTGGCTCTCCTGGCACAGTGCTGATGGAGAATGGCGAGTGGGCCCGAAAGTGACCGGGAGGCCGAGCCTTGAGCCGGCAGGGAGAGGCACTGATTATTCTAGTCGGTTTCCACTGCCACCACAGAGCACCGCAGTCAGATGCCTCCCAAAGACAGTTTGTATAGCTCACAGTCACAGAGGGTGAAGAGCAGGGCACCAGCATCAGCATGACTCTCAGGAGACCTCGCGGCACATGGCAGGGCAATGTCATCAGGACACACGATGGGGTCCCACCCACCCACCCAGAAGACAGAAGTCAGCGCTGCTCTTTTATAAGACCCCTCTCACGACAACTGCCCAGGCCCTTCCGGGGCAACACCTTCAAGGGCCTGGATCCTTCTCACTCGCTCCCCCTTCTACCTGTTCCCTGGTCCCATGGCCTCCTGACACTGGCACACCAAGGACCAAGCTTCCGAGTCCAGAGCCCCAGTACACACCCAAACCTGCCCAACCACAGCCTGGCCAGAGGTGACGAGTCTGAAAAGGATGAAGAAGCAGCCCCTGATGAACATCAGGAGTGTCAAATCCAGCTGCAGGGCCAGCAGCACCAACCTTCCTCCTCCTGGTTTCCTGCAGAACAGTGCTGCCTGCTGTTTTACGTACTTTTTGTTTGTGTAAGTGAGGGCCAGACTGGGTTACTCATAGACAAGGAGAGGCCTTGTCTATGGTGGTCTGGAGGACAAGAGGCCCAAGAGTGTGGCAGGAGCAGCTGGCCGGGCCTCTTACTTGATGGACCATGGTGGAAGGCGTCCCATGGTGACAGAGCAGGCTGCTGGTCAGGGCTCTCCTCCGGGCCTCGTGAGGCCTCCTTCACCATCACAGGGTCCTGCCCTCTCCCCTCATCTAACCCCTATCATCTCCTAAAAGCCCCAGCTCCAAATGCACTGACTTTCTAAGCAGGGAGTCAGTTTCCAACCCATGAACTTTTAGGGAACACATAGCACCAGCTACACATTTTAATCTCGAGCAACCAGTGAATAGTTTCTGTAGTATAAATAGGGTCCAAATGTTTATATTGAAAAAAATCACTCACTGTTTATTTGAAATTCATTTAATTGCAGGTTTCATGTTTTTATTAGCTAAAACGTGCACCCCTACTCCAGGCAGAGAGGTGGCTCCTGGTTGCTGTCAGAGTCAGCGGATCAAAGCAGAGAGACATATGCGCTTTGGTGGGGCTATTCTCCCCTGCTTCTCCCTGGACTGAGGCTCCTCGGGGAGGTGGCTCTCAGCAGGCAACCTTCACCCAAGATGGCTCTGCCCAGCGCCCCAGGGCAGCTGATCTGTGTGTGGAAGAGCCCTGTCCCTTCTCCCTGGTGTGGAGCAGGCTCCTCCCAGCCCCGGAGCTCTGGAGAGCTCGCTGAAGGCTCCTCGGTTCAGTGCTCCGTGCTCCGTGCTCCATCAGCTTTGCTCTCGCCAAGCCCGGTTCCCTCCTTGACTTCATGGGTACGCATCCGAGAGCACTTCCCCAAACACATGCTGAGCACCCCTACTCCAAACACCCCAAACCCAAAACTTCTTGAGCACTATAGCTTGGTGCTATACGTGGGATGTTCTGCACCATGAATCTTTGTTCATGCACAAAATTATTGGAAATATTGCATAAAGTTTCCTTTAGGCTGTGTGTATAAGATGTATAAGAAACAAACATACCTGGATTTGCGTTTATACTTTGATCCCAACCCTAAGAAGTCTCATTTTGAACATCTAAATATTCCAAATGCAAAAAAAAAACCAACAGCTCCAGATCTGAGACACCTCTGGCCCCACGTATTTTGGGTAAGCACCGCTCAGCCTGCGCTCAGATTCATCTAAGAATCTGCAACTGCCCCTGTGAGGGTGGAAGGTACTTGGGGTCCCTGGTCGGTATTCTTGTCACCAAAAGCGCACCTGGAAAGACAAGACATCCCCGTGCTGAGGGCTCACTGGCATGAACCACAGAGCAATTTTAGGTGTCATGGGTCAACAACTCCTAAGAGAGTTCTGCCTTTCCAAATTTCTGCTGGATAAATAATGCAGCTGGGTAATAATCTAGGGTCTCAAGCTTTACCTGTTCACCCACTCCCCAAAAAAGCTATTCCTAACTTCTTGCTCACCCCATCCCCTGACCTCAGAGCCAGAGATCTCAACCCCCCTCCACAGCTCGGCCACCCTCGGGCTTCTTCCTTGCCTTCTCCGTCCCTGTGCATTGGCCCTGTTAGGGACCCCAGGGCTCCTGCTCATTGCTGCCATTCCTGCCACTCTCCTGCTGTGGCCAGATGTGGCCTCCTTTGCTGTGGTCTTCACCGGGTCAGGATGAAGTGACTCCCTGCCAAGCACGAACTTCGGAGCAGGACATGGCGCTTGCAGGGCCCCTTCTTCCTAGTGACCAAGGGACTTTATCAGCCTAGATCTCATGTAAGTAAGTCACACACACACGCGCGCGTGCGCGCACTCACCTCTCAGGGACATCTTGTTACCACCGCATGATCTATCCTTTCCTGACAAACACACTCTGCTATCCAAGTGGCACAGTGGCAGGAGTAGCCCTGGGTGTGGCCCCGGGTGGGGCTGCGTGCGGCTGACTGAGCAGGTGAAGTACGGACTAGCTCAGCACTGTGCCCTGCTGCCAATGAGTTTTGCCTCTCACCCACTGCTCCAGGGCTCAGAAAGCTGCCAGAGAGGCTGCAGACCAGTTGCATGCTTGTTGGCTGGGAGCCAGAGGGGGCAATATCCTGGGTTCCTTTCGGGCCATATCACCGCTTACGTAGCAAGTGACACCAAGAGAGGAGAGCGCTGCAAGAAAACTTCTTAGAATGCTGGCCGCCAGGAGACAAAAAGGGAACAGCTAGTTGTTTGTAAACAGAGGGAAAATAGACAGTGTTACCCTAATGTCTTTGACTTTGTAACTTCTTATTACATAACCAGTTAAAGCGGCAAATCCCATTTCCCAGAGGCTAACAGCTGGTTGGCCCCTGCTAGGAGAAGCCAGGCACATTAACCCCGGCACCAAAGGGCGGCACTCTGCTTCCCCATGGCCTGTGTTCTGGGCTGTTTATGTTAGCGCTCTGAAAATTCCTCCATTAAAGAAACTCAGAGAATTTTCCAAATTAAACTAAGAAAATGTACATAGCTCTATACGAAAAAATTCAGTTCGGGAGTCATATTAGTACTAGCAAAGAATGGAACACTTTCTGAAGAATGTCCAACTTGATTCTCGTAGTTATAATGCAGTGTGAGTATTTTACATACAATTTCATTTCAAGAACGTCCCATGCCAGCTCCGATCTTGTATAAGCTTATAAGGTTAGGTTTTTTTCTCCAGGGGATGAGAGATTTGAGGGACATGGCTGAGAATCAGCATCCATTTCCTCCCACTTCCTCAAAGTGAATATAGTTCCATAAGGAAGAATGCAGTGCAGACCAGCAGTTAGCTCTGTGGCTTAAAAAAAAAATACAGCTTTTCTGACTCCAAATTCATCCAACAGGAAGCCCTGAATAGCTGTGAGAGCAGACAGAGCAAGGAGAGGGCTCAGTGGGCAGCGGCTGTGCCAACTTGCTCATCACAGGCCAGGGGTCTTCGCCCCTGATTTAGCCAGCAAGCTGGGCCTGGCGTGAAACGTGCCCGACCCTTGACCTGCACTCGGTGCAGACCAGAAGCACTGACCTGAACACAGGGCAGCACCTTCGGGGCAGAGCTATGATCCTGGGCCTCGTGGCCTCTGATCTCTCCTTGTCCCAGCTGTCCTGCCCACCAGGGAGATGTGTTGGATGAGGTCTCAAATGAGATGGAGTCCCAGAAATTTCTCCAAGCCCCAAGGTAGGGTACAAATGGCACCAGGCCCAACATGCAGAGCCCCAAGCATCCCTTCCTTAGCACCACCAGGAGCCAAAGATGCCACTGCCACCAGGACAAACAACTCCTCCAGGGCCTCCCTGGCTTAACCAGGTGTGGTGGAGCCTCGGCCCCAAGGCTCAGTCCCAATAACATCACCTCTGCCACAAAGGATGCTACGGCCAAGGGTGCAATGAGTGCTGCATACCCAACAGCCCTGGGCATGGAGGGTGATTTATCCTAAATGGGTGCCTCAAAGCAATAGGATTTTACAGCTAAAAATGATACTCTAAAGATTTTCAAAGATAAAATTGCACCAGTTTAACACACTGTAGTCCTGCTGCCTTTTAAAGAATGAGCCAGTGGGGAAATAGTGTCCAAAACAAGGCTTCAGCACCCCCGTCCTGCTGAAGGGACCCAAGGACCTTGCATGTGTGAGGCAAGCTCTTGCCCAGCTACATCCCGGCCACCACTCACTTATCTTTGTGTTTCTAATATAGGTTTTATAGAGCATTTTTCTGGACTGTGATTATAAGATATGTAACTGTAAAAGACTGATCTTTAAAAGGCTGAATTTAGGTCCATTTAGCTTTTCTGCAGCCAGGTCAGCCACATTGGCAACAGCACCTCCCCTGGATGATTCCCTGACACATCTCTTCCTGGAGTACAAAGACTGACTTCAAGGTAGACACTGAATTCACTGATTGTCCATTTTCATTTTTCAACAAGTAGTAAAATTTGAAGATAAATATGTAGCCTTTGAGAGACTGATTTCCTCAAGTCTCAATGGAGGGATAGAGGAAGAGGAAGTTCCAAAACTGTCATGTTTTTGTTTGTTTGTTTCAACTGTGGCTATGGATGTAAAAGCTTTCTGTTCAGTAACTGGCAGCACCTACCTGGTCACCCCTACACCAAGACAACTGGTACATAGCGTTTCAGTGACTCCAGCAGTTCATTCTTTGCAATCGTTTCATTATTGAAGAAGGGGAAGAAGAAGAGGAGGAGGAGGAGGAAGAGGAGGAGGAAGAGGAGGGGGAGGAA